ATGATCAGCTGAATACAAGTCTAACCACAGACGACGTCTTCCATCTTGAAATCTCGACCATCCACCCTGACTGTTCACTTCATTTTAGCAAACCTACAACTAAGTGATGTGCGTGTCATCACTATATTGGCTTCATACATAAATATGGGACCCAATTGTACCAAATGTTCATTCACCCTTGCAGATTCATCCGAGCTGTGAGAGCTTTTGTTTTAATTTCTGCTAGATGTCTAGTCAAACACCACACCAGAAACGCCTGGTGAGAGAACCGACTATGCGATAGCTTAGTACTGGCTTATATCGTACAAACAGCACTCGTAGGGTGATCTGCCATAAAAAAATAATTTGGTTAGCGAACGCCTATATCCAGTATACTACTGCTATAATGAGAATCAATGGCAGATTTTGGATGCTTTAAATCCAATGTCACATCCTGGATATGACGATAATCCGGCTTCTGATCGGGAAGTTTTGAGGAGTGTGGAACCACTTCATAATTGCTGTTGTTTCCAGGTCGATCCAGATCTGGGGTGGCAGCACATGTTTTCGTCCTAACGGTACTCGGACATTTGGCCGACGGATATTTAACCAAATGGAAATTTAGCCGAAAATGTAATGGCGTACTTAATATCAAACTCTTTATCGTAATGTTCTACTTATATTTATATTTATTTACTGTATTAATTTATAATTTTTAGTTTTTGTTCCGTTTTTTTTGTTTTTGTTTTTGTTTTTTTGAGTAGCTTTTTTTAAAAAAAAGTCAATTCTGTATATAATATATTTTACTTCAAATATTACTGTAAGATGATAAGTATTTTGAGAAAATACACATTTTACTATAGCAAAAATCTTAACCTTTTACGATATGAAAGATCAATTTCGCTTTTAATGATCATTATCTTAAAGGGATGAACTAGATTTTATCTAACTGTTAAATACGAATTTAAATAATTAGGTGCTACTTTTTACCCAAATATACTCAAATATTTTTAGAAATACTAATTTCAATAAACAAATATTGAAATAAGAAAAATTTTTAACTTTAAATTTAGATTTAGTACATAATTTGGACTATTATCCTCATCTTTGTCGCCATATTTATCACAACATTTCTGGCCTTCTTCAGGTGGTTGGAATGTCGAACTGAACACTTTATTCCGCTCACTGGGGTAGACTGTTCTAGTTCCACGTGCCATGTTTTTTAATACAATATGGGAACCAGTAATAAGGAGTGCCAGAGAAAAGCAATGATAACAACAAAGCAATATGAGCTCTGGTAAAAACATGCAATGATAACAGCAAAATTGCAATATGAGCACTGGTAAAAATGGTTGCTGAAGACATTAGGTTTATAATACCCATAAATTCACATGGCACAGTGGATAAAGGCGTTGGTTAGATCCAGTGACAGGACCCAAAGAGCGTGAGTTCAATACCCGGTTAAGGCAGTGGAGAAATTTCAGAGGAAAATTAGCAGGAAATAACTGATAACTGACATCCATTAAAAAACATGGCACGTGGAACTAGAACAGTCTACCCCAGTGAGCGAAAAAAAGGGTTCAGTTCGACATTCCAACCACCTGAAGAAGGCCGGAGGGTACAACGGCCTAAACGTTGTGATAAATATGGTGACAAAGATGAGGACAATAGTCCGAATAATGTACATAATACCTCCTCTCAGAAATATAGACAGTTAGATTTAGTAATTTAATCACTTGAAATTCAGTAGTAATTATTAGTTCTATTCTATCTTATAATACTACTAATTAAGATACTTAAAGTATTGCTTGTTACTATTTTTACTTGTACTTTTTCAGTGAAATGTCCGTTCGGACAGATGTCTGTCAGTCAAATGTCTAGTCGGCCAAGGGTTCTAACTATGAGCAAAACTGGGGTGAAACACTATGAAAATATATAAATACATTTTTACAGTAAAAATACCAGAAATAGATTTTATAGTAATATATATTTTACCACCAAATTATGTACAATAAATTATCACAACATTACTAGCAACATATTTCTGTAAAAAAAAAAAAGTTACTACCAGCCTTACAAAAGCCAGATAAGGCCGAAAATAAATTATTGTTGTCATATTTGGTAGGAGCTGCCCAGTCCTGCCTAGAGTTCCAAAGCATCTCCGAGCTCATGTGGGTGACCAATTATTTTCTACCCTTCAATCTCTCTTTCACAGGCTGGATGCGGTAAACCTCTCTTCGCTCTGTCGTGACTTTCATGGAAAGCTAGGACACATTGTAGCAAACCAGCCATATCCCCCTCCGTATAGCATTGGTGAGAAGTAACAATCTAGCACCTTCCTCGGGCGAACCACTTCCCTGTGGAACTCTGTGGGTGAAGTAAAAACATCTCTCTCTCCCCTCTCTGCCCCTCCCTCTCTCCCTCTCTATCTCAATTTATTTAAAACCAAATGGTATCTTTCTTTAATATGACGTAATAAATTCAGACAACTTTGTATAATGAAAAGTCCTTCAACCTCACCAGCCCCCCACCCCAAATCTAAGTATAAATAATATTAACCATTTGAACCCGAATGGTTGATGTTTTAAAGTGCCTATACTGCACTCAACAGGGGATCAGGACCCAAAGATTTAATCTTAAATAAGTGACTAGTATAGGACGTTAAGGTACGTTAATGTAGACTATCAGTACTTGTACCTAGATTAAGTCCTTAACACTGTAGTACTAAATGTAAATCAAGTTAGGGTGCCTGGAAGGTCAGTGTTTTTATCAAGGCACCCCAGAATACCCCAGATTTCAGTGTTATTTTCAGGCACGGTGGAGTAAAGGATAGCGGCTTAGATTGAGGAATTGGAGAGCCGAGTTCGAATTCCAGTCGAATCCAATACATTCACTTACGTGCTAACACCCTTGGAAAAGGTGTGAATCCTCTTCTTCTTCCTCCACATATGCGTAAATAGCAGGACAGACTGGTTTCTATAGCCTTGGATGGAGAAGGACAACTCTGAATTCAAACCCAGAGTGGATCCCCTAAGGCGGATGGACGGCACTTTGTGCTACCTTCCGGCAACTCCTGCAGCCGCGTTGGTACCAAACTGTATTGGTTTATCTTCTCCTTTGGACTCTGCTAGCAAGGCCGCGAGGGGGGAACTAAACGTCCAGGCAGCCCTAGTTTTCCATATATTCCGCCCAGGCTGATAGCGCACCGTGCTACTCCATCGTCTCTCGAGACGGACGGATGATGACTATATATATATATATATATATATATATATATATATATGCGATGAAAATAACACTGGCATCTTGTTTTAACAGATATATTTACCAAAATTACACAAAAACATCTTGAAACATCAAAGAGTAAATATATTCAATAAAATCGCAATTGTTTTCAACCATGGCCTCCAGACGACTTCGGAATCTCCTGCAACTCTTCTGGAGCGTCTTCTTGTTTAAGTTGGTGAATACTGCCATAATCTTAGCCTTCTGTTGATCTTTGGTGCCAAAACTCATGCCTTCATTTCTTTGGTAACAAAGAAAAGAATACTGAGCTGTTACATCTGTTCTTCTTTACGGCAGCGAATGTTGGAGGGTCTCCTCAAAGATGAAGAAGAGACTCGAGGCGACGGAGGACGATAAATGCGACACTGAGATCCGTAGACGTATTGGGGTGGCCAAGGACACATTCCAATAGCTGAGCAGAGTACTGCGAGAGAGGAGGATTTCTTTGGTAACAAAGAAAAGAATACTGAACTGTTACCTGACATCTGTCCTTCTTTACGGCAGCGAATGTTGGGTGATTTCCTCAAAGATGATGAACAGGCTGGAGGCGACGGAGATGTTGTTCTACAGAAGGATGCTAAGAGTATCATGGACCGAGAGTGTGAGCAGCGATGAGGTTTATAGGAAGTATGCAAACAAGGAAGAGGCTTATACTTAACATCAGGAAGCATATGAAGTTTCTGGGACATGAGGAAGGAGGGCCTGGAGAATCTGATACTCACGAGTCGAATAGAAGGAAAGAGAGACAAGGGAAAACAACGTGTGACATACCTGGTGGCCTTATACAGGTGGATGACAGTACGTGGTCTAGGGGAGGCAGAGGGAAGGAACTTGTTGAGAGCCTCAAGTGATAGAGGGAGGTGGAGAGCCATGATCGCCTACGTCCTGAAGGGCCATGGCACATTAAAAGAAATAAAAATAAACCAAATCAATGGTTTAGACATTTCGTATACTTTCACCTCATTTCATTCTTATATGAGAAACCATTTTTATAGATCAGGTGTTTGATAAAAGTGCCTAAAATTTTATTTTTATAAATTAAAATGAAGAAGAGAAGACGACTTACCTCGTGTGGCAAATCGAGCGCATATATGCCTGGCGTGTAAAACGCGTGAAGGAAAGGAAAGGAAAAAATAAATATGGCCGCCTTGATACCTTAATTTAAGAAAGACACTGACTTGGAGCTAGGAAAATTGGCCAAAAAGTTTGCAAATATTTTGCGAGATCAGCTCGGCATAAAAAACACCACGCGAGAGAGAATAGACCTCTCGTGAACGTGGTACTGTTTGAACGGAGATACTTTGTCAGTTGGAAAGAGATTATTTGGGTCAGTTTCACACAGAAAACATTATTTTTACAATAATGTTAACCCTATACGAAGCCCAAAAGACACTCAGAGTAAAAGGTTTCAGAGTAAGGGGCCAAGTTTATGTGGATATTTGAACAAGATAACGGTTAACACTTGACTTGAACAAGATTTATATTGTAGGGAGTCGGTTGTGTATTCCTTCTATGTTTTTTTTTTTGGTGGTGGGGGGGGGGGTCCAGAAGAGTGTGCTGTGAACTTTTGCACACATATATATTGGAAAGTTACGATTAGTCAGCTCCAGCCCAAATATGCCAGCAACATTCCATTTTTGGTCTCCTCTAACTCTTGTAACGATAGAACATAGTACTTTTTGGAATGGCGCCTGATTTCAGAAAACTAATCATCTGATCAAATTTGATATGCACACATGATGAACAATGTAAACTGCTGTCGGTTCATTGACGTGACAGAAACGACAAGGGCACAAAGAGAAATCAAGAGAGGAGAACAACTCTGTAGATTTCTCTTTTTAGTGAAGTGTCATCTTATATTATTTGGAAAGGATTGCGTTGAAGACGCCAAGCAAAGTAAATAAAATCAGTCAGATTTCATGTTTTTAATTAAAGAAAAAAAAGGAGATTTAAAAGGAGTGCCCGATGATTTTTGCAGTTGGGCCAATGTTCTAAGCTTTCTTTTATGTCTTTAAAATTTTATCTGTTTTTGCTCGATCTTTTAATAATGCATTCTATGTTATCGATTTTATTTATTCCTTTTCATTCATTCATTCATTCATTCTTTCTTTCTTTATTTATTTATTTATTTATTTATTTATTTATTTATTTATTTGTGTTATCCGGTTTTTGAAAAGTTCTTTCCATATTAGCGCTTTTTTTCTTTCTGTCTTTCTCTCTTTCTTCCTTTTTTTCCTTTTCTTTCTTTCTTTCTTTCTTTCTTTCTTTCTTTCTTTCTTTGTTTTACCTGATTTTAAAAGTTCCTTCAATATTAGCGACATCTTTCGTTCTTCCTTCTTTTCATTATTTCTTTCTTACTTCTTTCTTTCTCTCTTTTCCCTTCCTTTCTTATTTCCTTTTCTTTCTTTCTTTCTTTACTTTTGCTAGAATTTTTAAAGTTCCTTCATTATTAGCAACTTCTTTCTTTTTTTCTTCCTTTCTTTTTCCCTTCCTTCCTTTTTTTCCTTTTCTTTCTTTCTTTATTTATTTGTTTTACCTGATTTTAAAAGTCCCTCAATATTATCGACTTCTTTCTTCCTTTCTTTCTTCCTTTATTTCTTCCTTTCTTTCATTATTTCTTCCTTTCTTTCATTCTTTATTCCTTTCTTTCTTTCTTTTACCCAATTTTTGAAAATTTCCTTCAATATTAGCAACTTCTTTCTTTCTCTCTTTTTCCCTTACTTTCTTTTTTCCTCTTCTTTATTTTATTTTTGCTAGAAATGTTCCTTTATTAGCGACTTCTTTTTTCCTTCTTTTCTTTCTCCCTTCCTTCCTTTTTTCCTTCTTTCTTTCTTTTCTTCATTCTTTCCTTTCTTTCTTTCTTTATTTTACCCGTGTTTTAAAATGTTTCTTCTATATTACTGACATTATTTTTTTTCTTTCTTTCTTTCTTTCTTTCTTTCTTTCTTTCTTTCTTTCTTTCTTTCTTCTTTTCTTTTCTTTTTCTATTTTTATTTATGCCCCATTTTTAAAAGTTCCTTCTATATTAACGATTATTTGGTTTCTTTACTCCCTTTCTTTTTCTTTGTTCCTTTCTTTCTTTCGTTCGTTCGTTCTTTCTTTCTTTTTCCTTTCTTTCTTTCATTTCCTCTTCGAATTTTGTTTATTCATTTTTACCCAATTTTAAAAAGTTAATTCGGTATTATCGACTTTATTTGCGCTCTCTCTCACACTCGCTTACACACACACACACACACACTCTCTCTCTCTCTCCTCTCTCTTTACTTTCCCTCTCCCACCTCTCTTTTTCTCTCTCTCTCTCTCTCTCTCTCTCTCTCTCTCTCTCTCATTTCTTTCCTAGAATTCTCGATTTTCGGGGTTCGCATGATAGACATGTCACCAGATTAATATTCCAAAAAAGGAAATTGAAAAATGTTTGGTAAAATTTGGAGAAAAAGTCATTGTCAAACTCACAAGCACACACACACACACACACACACACACACACACACAGAGAGAGAGAGAGAGAGAATTTCCTCCCTTCTCTCTTTTATTGAGATATGAATCCGCAGAATGGCACTGATAGCAATATAGCCAATATGCAGGCTTTATGAGTAGCGTTACGGTTAACAAGTTAGTTTCATAAGCCTTGTAGTGAGTTTAATCTTCTCTGGGTGCCATACATTTATGGCCTTGTGCCAGACGAAATTAAACCTGGTAAATACCTAGAAAAATGGTCGGGTTCTTGTACCGTTCTAAAAAAAAATATATATATATATATACATACTAATTGCTATGTTCTATCGTTACAAGTGTCAGATGAGACCAAAAATGGAATTTTGCAGGCATATCTGCGCTGGAATTACCTAATCGTAACTTTCCAGCCATGGCAGAGTCAAACAACGATTACGCGGCCTTGTGGGCGATGAATTATTTACTATCCTACAAATATTAATCAACAGCTTTTTGTGGATTTTGTGTTTCATAACAAATTTGATTTTGTGTTTCATAGCAAATTCAATTTTGTGTTTCATAGCAAAGTTAATATTGTATTTCATAGCAAATTTAATTTTGTGTTTAAGAGCAAATTTAATTGTGTTTCATATCAAATCAAATTTTGTTTCATAGCAAATTAAATTGTGTATTTCATAACAAATTTAATTTTGTGTTTCATAACAAATTTAATTTTGTTTCATAGCAAATTTATTTTGTGCTAAATAGCAAATTTAATTTTGTGTTTGATAGTAAATTTAATTTTGCGTTTCATAAATTGTCTTTTGCTATAAATGTCGTACATCCATTTTTTCATTAAATTGTATAACCATGATTTTTTTATGAGCTCTTGCAGTATCTGAACATATTTGCATAAATATTATTTAAATTCTGGCATTTCGAATTATTCTAACAGAAATATTTTAATTGCAGAATTAGCTTAATTTTCTTTAGTTAAATGCGTTAGTTTCATTGTCAAAATAATAAAATTAGGTACATCACTGTATTTTCGTTAACCAATTTTAAATTGCTGTATTTGGTGTTTGAAAAAAATAACTTTTTGTTTTCTTTATTTTATTTTTTTTTTGTTTATTTTGTTTTTGTTGTTGTTCTTTTTTTTTTTTTTCGAAGAGTCTTCATTATGTTCGGACTGTTATTCGCAAAGTGGAATGTTACTTTATAAGGTTGATTTCACCTCATAAAAGCTCAAATTAAGAACTAAATTTCTTTGCGCAAATCTTGTTATGTCTATTTTTTCTTTGTTTATGTAAATCTACTTTGCTCATTATGCCTCTGTTCTGTTTTTAGCATTTTAAAATCTGAAAGCAAAAAAAAAATAAAAATAAAGTAAAATAAAATAAAAAAAGATAATAAAAAATAAACACTCGTCTGAGTTTTGTTAGATGATTGTTGCTATAATTGTTGCTATAATTGTTGGATAATTGTTAGATGATTGTTGCTATAATCATTGCGTGGTGTTGCCTCAAAATAGTATCTTCGTCGTTATTTTCGCAACATTTCAACCATGTAAATCTTATTTCTGTTTTCAAGGCAATTGTCCAGACCAGCTGCATTCCTTAGTTCCACCAATCCAGACATTCACAAAGAGGACACGTCATACACGTACACGGGGTAGACTCATCCTTATTCTCGTCATATTCCATTGGTAAGGAAGAAGATCCAGTCAGCGTTTTCCCAAGAACCGTAACATTGTGAAATTGAATCCCGAAGAGAATGCTACTACAATCACATTTTCAAGACTAGTTTCAACCCTTATCTAACAAACTGTGGCGAACGCGCGTCGACACAGACGCAAAAGATCGCGCATGGACATGTTTGTCAACATCAGTTACATCCGGGTTTTCTCCGTTAGGAGCAGGACAGCTTGGTATGTCTAAATACGGTCCTCTCTGCAACTGATCAAGATCTGGATCTTTGTAAGTTGTTTCATGCTAATAAAAGCAACGGGAAAAACAGCAGTCAAGGCACAGTATCTTGTTATATTAGCCCCGTAGTTGGTGGGAGAGAAATCGGTAAAATGTTTTCCATAATCTCAACACGCTCTTTGCTTGCATTACAATATCCTCATAATACGCAAATTTTATTCCCGCTTGTGCATCCTACTTGGAGGTACGGTGGAATAATGGATAGCAGTTCGGATTAATAAATTGGAGATCCGAGTTCGAATTCCAGTGGAATCCATTACATTCACTTACATGTTAATACCCTTGGGAAAGGTATGAATCCAGTTCTTCTCCCGCCAGCAGTGGGTAAATAGCGAGACAAACCTAGCGGGTTCTATAGCCTCTACCGCAGAAAGAAATGGCAAACTACTGCGGGAAAAATCTGCCTCGTCAGTCATATATCGAAAGATACATGATCGCTTAAACGTGTATCATGCATGACACATAACTGACTGACTGACTGACATCCTAATTAACCTTTACTTTTAGGGCATTGTAGACTCGGCTTGCCTAACAACCACGGCTACGCGTACGAGGACCAATCAATCGCGCGGGAGAATCCTGCAGTCGAACTTAGACTCGGCTCGCCTGCCTAACACGGTTATACGTGCGAAGCGCGTCCGATGGCCGCGACGACGACGACGACGACGACCAGCCGTTCGCTAAGGATAGCCGCCCGTATGAGGATGGATAGTGGAGGCACAAAAGTGTATAGCGGCTTAGATTGATTGAGCTGAGTTCGAAATCAATTCGGGTTCCTCACGTTCACCTACGTGCTAATACTCTTGGGAAAGCTATGAATCCATCAGTTCTCTCCCCTCAACTATGGGAAAAATAGTGTCCAATCGCCTCGGGTGGCAAACAGTCTAAGAGAAAGAAACTCTGACTACTGCCTTATAGATTCTGCCTCTTTAAACAAAGGTTAAAAGTGCGCGGGGTGGGGGGAACTTCAAAAACAAATCAACCTCGCATTTCGTCTCGAAGAAAGAAACTGCCACACTACTTCGAGCAGCGACAGAAAATAATGGACTCCGTGGGTTTAGTATGAATCCATCTCTTCCCCACCCCACCCCAGTTATGGGTAAATAGCAGGGCAAACTCACGCCTATGACCTTAGTTGGCAACCAGTTGAGGAGAAGGAAAATTCGGAATGTAATTTCAAAAACAAATCCACCTTGCATATCGTGTCGACGAAAGGATTTCGGCCTTGTGCCACATCTGACCGCGTGGGGCGGTTGGTAGATATCCTGCAGTTGGAGATACGTCACCAGCTGGACTGGTCAAATTCTATGCCTCCTGACAGAGAGGATCCCCAGACAAGGCTATGACGAAGGGCAGAGTTTCGTCTCGGGAAACAGCTACCCGGCCCCGTTTTGTACGTCGTTTTACGGGAATTTTTGGCCGGGCCTACGGGCTCGGATTCCCCGCATTAAATTCGGCCTCGTGCCACATCTTAACGCGTGGTGCGGTTGGTAGATATCCTGCAGTTGGAGATTCATTGTGGGATTCACTCGACTCACTTGTAGCAATTGATTACTTCTTCTACACTCCGCTGGCGAATCTTATATGTATTGTTCTTGCCCTAGGTATTATCGTTCATTACCAACCTTCGTTTGATTATTCTATTCAGTAACCTTCCCTTGGTTACAACAATATCGATTACATCTAGCCATTTCATTTGTAAAATGATGAGATCAATCTGCTAACCAAGTACTAAAGGCAGCAAAGAGAAAAGGTCATCAGAAAAATTACCATGAATATATTTATAGACAAGGTACAGGGAAAGTACGGTACAGTGGTGGAAAAGTGACTGAGACCGATATGCCATGTCGTCCTGATAACATTACAGATTCTTTTGATTTCACTTATAATATCTATACACATAACAGAAGCATCAGACTATATGCGACAGAAATATCCAATGTATGGATGTGTTATACTGGAACACACCTATTCTATTGTTAATAGTCTCTCCCACCTATAATAAGTAGGAGTAGTAGCAGTCGCTCAGTGAGTTGGTCAGTCAGTCGATGTCGGACGACCGTGAGTCGGATACTAAAAGTATCAGCCACCACAACTAGATTGCTGCATCATTAACTATTATATCAAGTTCCTAAAGTTTTGTACGTCGAACCTATTTTAGGACCGACTTAGTGAAATACAAGCTTCCACTGTGAAACTACTCTATAACAGGATGACTGGTAGATATATAAATATGTAAGATATATTATTGAATTAAAAAAAAATATTTATATTCTCATTCACATAAAATACCTACATTCTTTTGTGCTAAATAAAATTGCCGTCTGGATATTACATACCAGTGGGAATTTTGTCACTTTCTGAAATAAGCGGGGAATCGTTGATTCCTTTGCAGTATTGTTGCGATAATATTGTTGCTGCTAGTGTTTTTCATTTTTTGTTTTGTTTTTTTTGGGTGGGTGTTCGAACAGGAGGTAGCAGATGACACAGTGTTGGTAGCAGACACAGAGTTGATAGCAGACAGACAAAAATCTACAAAATCTCCTACAGAAGGTAGTGAAAGAAAGCGAGAAGAAAGGATCAAAGATCAACTGCAAGAAGACAGAATGTTGTTAGCACAAAGGTGAGCCGAAAGTATGAATTGCAATTCGGAAATGACAAAATCAAGCAAGCGCAAGAATTTAAATATCTAGGAAATATTTTAACAGAGGAAGGAAAGTGTGACACTGAAATCCGAAGTATTGGGATAGACAAAGATGCCTTCCAAAAGCTGAGCAGAATATTAAGAAATAGTAAAATTTTGCTAGAATCAAGGAAAAGAGTACTAAACTGCTAAGTGTTACCTGTCCTCCTGTACGGCCTGTGAGTACTGGAGGATCTCCTCAAAGATAAAGAAGAGACTTGAAGCAACAGAAATGTGGTTCATCAGAAGGAAACCATAAAGAGACCACGGATCGAACATATGAGTAAAGACGAAATTTTAGAGAAAATGAAAAGAAAAAGGAAAATAATTTACATCAGGAAGAGACAGTTAAGGTTTCAGGTGCATATAATGAGGAAAGACTGCTTGGACAGACCGGGTTCTATAACCTTGGATGGCAACGGGTCTACCGCAGAAAGAAATGGCAACCTACTGCAGGAAAAAAATCTGTCTCGTCAGTCATGTATCGAAAGATACATGATCGCCTAAGCGTGTATCACGCATGTCACATAACTGAGTGACTGACTTTCCAGTCGAATCCATTTACATTCACTTACGTGCTAATATCCTTAGGAAAGGTATGAATCCTCTTCTTCTCCCCCCAGCTATAGGTAAATAGCAGGAGAGACCGGCTTCTATAGCCTTTGATGGCAACTGGTCTACTGCAGAAAGAAATGGCAACCTACTGCGGGAAAAAATCTGCCTCGTCAGTCATGTATCGAAACGCATCACGCATGGCACATAACTGACTGATGCCGGTGAGGTAATGAGGAGACCATGGACTGAACATTTGAGCAACGACGAAGTTTTAGAGAAAATGAAATGAAAAGGTAAACTAATACTTTACGGCCGGAAGAGAGAGGTGAGATTTCTGGAGCAAATAATGAAGAAGGACGGCTTGGAAAATCTGATACTCACAGGAGAGATAGAGGTCAAGAGGGATAGAGGAAGACAGCGTATAACATTCTTAATGAGCTTGAATAAATGGATGGCGGGATAGGGTTTTGGAGAAATAACAAACAGAAAGTTTATTAAGAGCTACAGGAATTTGTGGAGAGACATGTCCTGAGGGGTTAAAAGAAGAAGATAGAAATTAAATTACAAATAATATTCTACAACTCTTAACTTCGGCTTGTGCTTGAACGTGATGTGCCCGTAAGTTGTGAAAAAGTAAAAAAAAAAAAGTCTTTTGAAATGAAAATCACTGTTTTCCATTTGTGTTTTATCTCAGAAACTAAAACTGTATTTAAAAAAATCATATAAAATAATCGAGTCATTTTTTTTTGTTTCAATTTATACCTGTGTTATCAACAGTTTGCAACCATTTGCTATACATCGGTTTTAAGTGAGGGTTTCTACTAAGAAGCCAACAGCATTTATGATCAATATGTACATACACTTATGCACCTCTGTAGGCGCATGCGTGTTAATGACACTAGAATTTCATCCGGTATCTCATCTCTGACCATCCTTGAAATTTTCGATCAATTTCTTCTCTTCTGCCATTTTTTTTAATCTTAGTTTTTTCTTTTTAATTTTTCTTTTCATTGTTTCTTGTCGCTCTTCCTTTCAAGTTTCTTTACTTTCTACTTTATGATTGTATATGCATAGGCGCAAGCTAATTACTTCTCATATTGTCGGCGATTTTTGATTTCCCAAAGGCGCCATTTTGAGGTAAGCGCCCCAAATTGACTGCCTTGTCTTCGTTTTTGTTGTAAAGGAATTTCGCATGGATTTATCGGGGAAATGGGGAAAGGGACGAGGAAAGGCCGAAGATTTGTGTTTGACTTTCTTTTTCTCTAGTTACTTTGTATTTCAGGGTGTGTTTTAGTTAGATTTTATTACTGGACTTTGTAATGGCGGAAAAGCAAGATAAGAAAAAATAGAATATTTTGATAGTGTCCACTATAGCCTCATAGTTTCTCAGCTGGCTGGCTTACTGATAATTTTTAACGACTTTCTCGACTGTTTTTTTTTTTTTCTCTCTTTATTTTTGTTTCTTTTTTCTTTGGTCATATTTTAGCTCTGTTCTTTTCTTTTTACTTTTCTTTCATTCATTTTCTTTCTTTTTTTTCTTTCATTCATTTCTGTCTTTTCTCTTTCATTTTTTTTGTCATTCATTTTCTCTTTCCGGAATACTTTTTCTTTCTTCATTGTTATTCTACAATAAATATTTTTTTTGTTTACTACAGTTTTACTTTCTTTTTTTTTCCCGCCGTTTTGCATTTTCTTTTCATATTTTTCTTTCTATATTTCTCATTTATTCTTTCTTTCTTTCTTTCTTTCTTGACTTCCTTCTTTTTATTTTTATTTTATTTATTTATGTTTATTTTTTATCTTATTTTTATTTCATTTCCTTCTTAGTGCTTTTCCTTTTCCTTTTCTTTATTGATTTCCTTCCTACTTATTTTTCTTTTTTTGTCATTATTTTTCTCGCACTTTTTCTATTCTTTTTTATCATTATGTCTTTTCTTTGCCCTAATTTCGTTTTATTTTTCTTTACTTCCTCATCTTTATTCCCTGTTCATTTTCCTTTTTCTTTCATTCTTTTGTTTTCAATATTTTTCTTCTTTTTTGCTTCACGTTTTTCTTCTTTAATTCTTTTCCATTCTTTTCATATCCGTTTTTCTTTCTTTTTTTTTAATTTGTTATTCTTTTTTTCTTTCTCATATTTCTAGTTTAATTCCTCGCCTTTTTCTACTTATTTTCATATTTCTTTTTTTCTTTGTTTCTCTTTCTTTACTTTCCTTTTCTTTTCATTTTTTCTTCAGTTTCTTTTCTTACTTTATCTTTCTTTTTACTTTCCTTTTTCTTTTCTTTCTTTGCTTATTCTTTCTTACTTTTGCCCTTTTCATATTTTTCGTTCGTTTACTTTTCTTATTTCTTTGTTATTTCTTCTTCACTCTGCGTTTTCTTTCTTTTTTATTCTCTTTCTTCAGCCTCTTTTGGTAATTTTCCACTTCTGCCTTTTATTTCTTTCTTAGTTTCTTTTTTTTAAATGTTGTTTCTTTCCTTTTCTTAGTTTCATTTTTGAAAAATAAATTCTCTCTTTTTTTTCTTTTTTTTTATTCTATTTTATCGAATTCATGCCTTTCTTTTTATTGTTTCTTTCTTCTCTTCTTCCTTTCATGTCTTCTTGTATTCACTTGCCGCTTTGATTTTCTTTCTTTCACTTCCCTTCTTCTTCTGCTTTATCATCTTTTGACAGCATTCATTTGTCGTCTAACCAGTATCCAAAATTTCGTTCCGCCCGATTTCCGTCCAATGTTTTGCCATTAACTCCGCCGTCTCGTCTTGATAAGACAATCAAACGACAGCGCCATCTTTATTCTTTTCCTGCTTCTTTCATTTTTCGCGCCCTTTTCATATTTTCCATTAACATTTCTGTGTCTTTATATGTTGGCCTAGTTTTATCAGTTTTCTTTTTCCGGTTTCTTCATTGAATCAATCCCAGGAGAGCGATTTCCATGACCTGATGTAGGTCCGAAGAAATTTAGGAAAACTTACCGACAGATCATGACAACAAATACATAAAGAAAACATCACATCAATTGGTGTCTGTCACAGATTTGATACGTCGTTCGATATGAGAATCTGCGTCTTTGAAATTTCTGAACGTCTTAGAAAGAAACCTGAAGATCGACTTAAACCATGTCGACGTACTGCATTTGAACTTCGGGTTTCATTTTAAACTTTCCAACATATTCATTTTCAAATTCTGACTTAGTCTGCTGCGTCCAGTTCGCACTAATACCTTCGGAAAAGGCAGAAATTCGTCTCTTTTCCCCCATTACAACTATGAGTTAAATAGGTTTTAATATAATAAATATTTCTCGGATGTGATCCTTTTCATAATATATATATATATATATATATATATATATATATATATATATATATATATATATATATATATATATATAAATATATGCATATATATGTATATATATATATATATATATATATATATATATATATATATATGTGTGTGTGTGTGTGTGTGTGTGTGTGTGTGTGTGTGTGTAGGATCAAATCCGACAAATATTTTAATATATATATATATATATATATATGTGTGTGTGTGTGTGTGTGTGTGTGTGTGTGTGTGTGTGTGTGTGTGTGTGTGAGGATCAAATCCGACAAATATTTTAATATATATGTGTGTGTGTGTGTGTGTGTGTGTGTGTTTCGTTAAATAATTTAGACATCTTCTGTCTACTTTTTTCTCGATAGGATCCTTTCATATACGCGGATAAGCTTTTTTGTGCGGTTAGCAAAAGACGTGAGGAAAACACCGTGTTGGTTCATATTGTATTTATTTCCGACTACTTTCGATATAGCATAATGTCATCATCATTGTATTGTTAATTATAGAGTAATTATTTAGCGTTCATGTTTGTGCAGGACAAAATTTGTTGTGATCAGCCGAAAATCTTTGTTCTCCACAACCATAAACAGTAAATACTGACTCTATAATTAGCAATACAATAGATAGATAGATAGATAGATGTGAAGAGGTTGAGAAAAATAGTTGGTATAGCTACATATATAGAGAGATTTGAAATGACTGAGATAGATAGATAGATAGATAGATAGATAGATAGATAGATAGATAGATAGATAGATAGATAGATAGATGTGAAGAGGTTGAGATAAATAGTTGGTATAGCTAGATATATATAGAGAGATTTGAAATGACTGAGATAGATAGATAGATAGATAGATAGATAGATAGATAGATAGATACGATTTAGAATAAGAAATAAAATTCGTTGTGATTGTCAGTTTCCTACTCTAGATATTTAGACCATCTAGTTTATATTTGCAATTTCTCTATCCCTAACTGAACAATATATATATATATATATATATCTATATTGTTTTCCCCATATATATATATATATATATATATATATATATATATATATATATATATATATATATATATATATATATATGTGTGTGTGTGTGTGTTTGCGTGTGTTTGTGTGTATGTATGTATGGGTGTGTAAGATCTATCCTTATAAACGTTCTCTTTAGAGAAAAGTGAGAGAGAAAAATAGGACGTTTCGCTAGGGATTGATCATCCAACCCATTGACAATGCCGTAAGGTCGGCGTTAGGTTCGTGCTTTGCACTTATAGCCCTTTTCTCTTTGTCGGCTAGATTCGGTAAATGTCGATAAATCAATCAAAAAAACAAATAGAAAGGAATGTTCTGGAAGACTATGCATAAAAAAAATGGGAATATTTTAATCTTTCTTTTTCTTTTCTTTTTTTTTTTTCATACGTTGTTTTATTTTCTTTTTTAATCACAGATCTCCTCCCCCGCCTCATCATTCCTCAAGCCGCAATCCAGTTCCCCTTTTACTTTTCGCCAAATATTCTTCTTTCGCACATCCAACCGTGAAAATTCCTCAACATATCTGAGTGTGGCTCCAGATCTCCCAATGCGAAAACGATAAACAAAGACCTTAATAACATTCTGCAGTCGGGCGTGAACAATTCGGATTTTCTTGAGCTTAAATACCTAGTGACTATCTTTGCTTTGATGTCCTTCATCCACCGTGCCTCGACGCAACCCCTGACCCCTGCAGAGGTGACTAATCTGTAATTCTTTGCCTTTATAGAAGTGTGCCGTATCATCACGGGAATATCGTCTCAGACAGACCAGTAGAAACATTTATTAAGCAAACACTAGAATCACAGACATGGTTTAGTGGCTCGTCAACACATGCATAGGTCATGTTGCTAAAACCAATTTGCATTGACAGCTAATACCACATCCGGTAACGGCACCGATGTTGTTGATGATGATGATGATGATGATGATGATGATGATGATGATAATGTCAGCAAATGGATTAACAATAATAAAAAAAAACTACGAAGATTTGAAAAACCGTTATGTAAGACACTTCACAACGCTGCTAAAGCAACGTTTACAATGTCCTGTTGGTTTGGGTCAAATCCCTAACAGCCAATCAGATAGGAATTAGCTCGACCGCACTTGGTCGAAAAATCCAAGGCGTCACAGCAGACAAACACAGACCGGGCGTCTGGGAAAATGGCCCAACAAAGGAAATTAAATGGAAAGCCATGGTATAATCTGCTTCACTTGACTGGCCGCCCTATTCCCCATATATATCTTTTCACGCCAGCTAGCAGTAAAATAGCAGGGTAAACTAGGCTTTCTAGTCTTGATTTGCAGCCAGTCTTAAAAATTAAGATTTAAAAATTTTGAATAAGATCCACATGAAATAATTCCCTCTTTTCCAAGTGGTTTTGCAAGTTTAAAGAAGTTAAAGAAAAGGAACTTATGGTAAAGTGTGAAAAGAAATCTGTGAAGGCAACAGGAAACTACTCCACTATCTTTCCCAAGAAGTCATGGCAATTCACAGATAATAAAGAAAAGGAATTTGTGAAAAAGGCAACAGGAAACTACTCCACTATCTTTCCCAAGAAGTCATGGCAATTCACAGATAATAAAGAAAAGGAATTTGTGAAAAAGGCAACAGGAAACTACTCCACTATCTTTCCCAAGAAGTCATGGCAATTCACAGATAATAAAGAAAAGGAATTTTTGAAGAAGGCAGCAGGAAACTACTCCACTATCTTTCCCAAGAAGTAATGGCAATTCACAGATAATAAAGAAAAGGAATTTGTGAAAAAGGCAACAGGAAACTACTCCACTATCTTTCCCAAGAAGTCATGGCAATTCACAGATAATAAAGAAAAGGAATTTGTGAAAAGGCAACAGGAAACTACTCCACTATCTTTCCCAAGAAGTCATGGCAATTCACAGATAATAAAGAAAAGGAATTTTTGAAGAAGGCAGCAGGAAACTACTCCACTATCTTTCCCAAGAAGTAATGGCAATTCACAGATAATAAAGAAAAGGAATTTGTGAAAAGGCAACAGGAAACTACTCCACTATCTTTCCCAAGAAGTCATGGCAATTCACAGATAATAAAGAAAAGGAATTTGTGAAAAAGGCAACAGGAAACTACTCCACTATCTTTCCCAAGAAGTCATGGCAATTCACAGATAATAAAGAAAAGGAATTTGTGAAAAAGGCAACAGGAAACTACTCCACTATCTTTCCCAAGAAGTCATGGCAATTCACAGATAATAAAGAAAAGGAATTTTTGAAGAAGGCAACAGGAAACTACTCCACTATCTTTCCCAAGAAGTAATGGCAATTCACAGATAATAAAGAAAAGGAATTTTTGAAGAAGGCAACAGGAAACTACTCCACTATCTTTCCCAAGAAGTAATGGCAATTCACAGATAATAAAGAAAAGGAATTTGTGAAAAAGGCAACAGGAAACTACTCCACTATCTTTCCCAAGAAGTCATGGCAATTCACAGATAATAAAGAAAAGGAATTTGTGAAGAAGGCAACAGGAAACTACTCCACTATCTTTCCCAAGAAGTAATGGCAATTCACAGATAATAAAGAAAAGGAATTTTTGAAGAAGGCAACAGGAAACTACTCCACTATCTTTCCCAAGAAGTCATGGCAATTCACAGATAATAAAGAAAAGGAATTTTTGAAGAAGGCAACAGGAAACTACTCCACTATCTTTCCCAAGAAGTCGTGGCAATTCACAGATAATAAAGAAAAGGAATTTTTGAAGAAGGCAACAGGAAACTACTCCACTATCTTTCCCAAGAAGTCATGGCAATTCACAGATAATAAAGAAAAGGAATTTTTGAAGAAGGCAGCAGGAAACTACTCCACTATCTTTCCCAAGAAGTCGTGGCAATTCACAGATAATAAAGAAAAGGAATTTTTGAAGAAGGCAACAGGAAACTACTCCACTATCTTTCCCAAGAAGTCGTGGCAATTCACAGATAATAAAGAAAAGGAATTTTTGAAGAAGGCAGCAGGAAACTACTGCACTATCTTTCCCAAGAAGTCGTGGCAATTCACAGATAATAAAGAAAAGGAATTTTTGAAGAAGGCAGCAGGAAACTACTCCACTATCTTTCCCAAGAAGTCGTGGCAATTCACAGATAATAAAGAAAAGGAATTTTTGAAGAAGGCAGCAGGAAACTACTGCACTATCTTTCCCAAGAAGTCGTGGCAATTCACAGATAATAAAGAAAAGGAATTTTTGAAGAAGGCAGCAGGAAACTACTCCACTATCTTTCCCAAGAAGTCGTGGCAATTCACAGATAATAAAGAAAAGGAATTTTTTGAAGAAGGCAGCAGGAAACTACTGCACTATCTTTCCCAAGAAGTCGTGGCAATTCACAGATAATAAAGAAAAGGAATTTTGAAGAAGGCAGCAGGAAACTACTGCACTATCTTTCCCAAGAAGTCGTGGCAATTCACAGATAATAAAGAAAAGGAATTTTGAAGAAGGCAGCAGGAAACTACTCCACTATCTTTCCCAAGAAGTCG